AAAATAATTGGGAATATGTTTTGGAGTTTATATCTCAATTTTGAGGGGTTTTGGTGAAGATTAGACTTGGTTTTGACTGAAATTCTGGTTTTGACTGAAATTCAGATTGAAACTCGAAGAAGAAGAAGAAGAAGAAGAAGAAGAAGAAGAAGAAGAAGAAGAAGAAGAAGAAGAAGAAGAAGACATATTGCAGAAATTGTAGATAAATTATAGATAAATTGTAGATAAATTGTAGACTGTTTTTTGCAGAAGATTTTGTAGAAGTTTTAGTCGTTTTGGATTTGTGAAAACAGAAAACAATGCATCTACAATCAGAATACAAATAATCTACAATTTATCTATAAAATATCTACAAACTGGATACATTGAATTTTAATATCCCAATTCTCATTTCAATTGTAGCATAATTGGCTTTTGTGACATAATTGCGTTTTTTGCAGAAGATTTGTAGAAGTTTTAGTCGTTTTTTATTTGTGAAAATAGAAAACAAAGCACCTACAATTAGAATACAAATAATCTGCAATTTATCTACAAAATACCTACAAACTGGGTACATTGAATTTTTATATCCCAATTCCCATCCAATTATAGCATAATTGTGATTTTTGACATAATTACATTTTTTCAGAAGATTTGTAGAAGTTTTAGCCGTTTTTTATTTGTGAAAACAGAAAATAAAGCATCTGCAATCAGAATACAAATAATCTACAATTTATCTATAATTTATCTACAATTTCTGCAATAAGTCTTCTTCTTCTTCTTCTTCGAGTTTCAATCTTAATTTCAGTCAAAACCAAGTCTAATCTTCACCAAAACCCCTCAAAATTGAGATATAAACTCTAAACCATATTCCCGATTATTTTCAACAACACCCAATCCAAACAAATAATGATTTTTGAAAACCAAAATTTGATTTCAAAGCTTTCAAGCTTTTTAATGGCTATCAATGGTGGAAAATATCTTGAAGAATATTTACTTCCATAATTGTAGCGCGCCTAAATAGGAATATCTGGAAGAATATGATTTGATTTGATTTACGCCAAATATTTTTAGAATATTCTGTTCCTCAATTTTAGCTCGACAAATTAGGAAGATTCAGCTACTATTAATTAGTAGTTAATGATCGGTATAATAACTTTAGAAAAAATATGAACAGGGCGGGTAAATTAGAAACTATGCACATTTTTGGTAATAAGGTTTCATATATGGTATAGGAAAGAAAAAATCTCAATAATAAAGCCTATGTAAAAACACTTGTTGCCTTGGTAGCATGATTCTATGGAGCTTTAATGACCATCATCTATTGAAAAACGGAGCTATCCCCTTATTTTACTTGGGCCGATTTCATTTTCAGTTTAGCTGATTTACTCTTCAAGAATTAACCCAAATAGCCGCTCACCTAATCGTTTAAACTAAAATAGTCGGAGGCTGTATAATATATGTATAATAAATATGTATAATTCAGTGTATACGGGCTAGAAAATGTAAATTTTGAATTTGGACGGTTATTTGCGTAAATGGTCAGTTTTCTGCAAAGGAACTTTGAGGTGGGCTAATTTCTCTGAAGGGCCTAGAATGGGCTGAATACAAGGTCCAAAACTCTTGTGGGCTATTTGTAGCAGCTTCCCAGATGTTTTTTTGTGCAAGTTACACATTTGGCTAGTCATCGCATACTATTTTGAGAAACTTTCAGAAACCACTATGTTTTAGTGGTTATTAGCTAGTTGTAGCTATCATTTACTATATTACTTCCTATACCTATGTTTTCAGATTTTTTAGAGTGTATTCGATGTATTTAAGCTACTGTATTCATGAATACAGTAGAATTTCTAGGCGTGAAACAGGGGATTACAGCTAGACAAATTTTGTATTCGCGTGTATTCGACTGTATTCATGGCGTCAATCATGGGATTACAGCTGGACAGATTATTGTATTCGACTGTATTCACTGCATGAAACGGAGGATTAAACTCTTTTTAAACGGAAAGTGAATCAATTAACATAATAGACTCCTAATATAACTCAACAAACTCCATTATGACACACAAATTTTGTATTTTCAGTTATAAAAAAAGATTCTCAACCGAAAAACACCCCAAAAATATATCAATCTTCAGAAAAATTATATAATACATCTGAATACATAAATTATATTAATTAAAAAAAATATATGAATACATTCATGAAATATAGCGAGACAGTGAATACAATGAAATACATAGAATACAGCGAGATACATTGAAATACAATGGAAAAAAAGACAATGAATACAATGAAATACAGCGAGATACATTGAAATATATTAACAGAAGTATTTCTTCTGCGAATCTGATTTCCGAAGTATATCGATCAAATGGATTGCGAACCTTCCAACTACATCGATGAACGCCACGGTGAACCGGTACCCTGGCACTGTACTAAGTAATGCAATCAAGGTTTGTGCTCTTCCAATCTTGTAAACTTCTTGAACTGCATTCATGGTTTTGGCTACTGGTATCCATCCAATTGTGTTGAACACATCTTTCTGGAATAGATTCTGGGTATAGAAAGCAATGTCCAACAATAACCATGTGGGAGTTGTGCCGAATAGGTGCAGCCCATGGCGACGGACGAATTCCCAAGAAAATAGACCAAATTTATTGGTTTCGTCCCTAGACATTGGTTCGATTTTTGCATCCTCAGGATCAATGTCAACTTGTAGTACCTATGAGATCTGATTCGTTAAAACAAGAGAAAATTTCATGGAGAAAGAATGGAGTTGAGAGAGAGAGGGTGGAGAAAAATCTGGAAGAATGAGAGAGAAAAATAATACAAAAGCGTATTTTAGGCTTAAGGGTAGGAGGTGACCATAAATAGATATTTGGCTATAAAAATCAAAAGGTAGTTATGGAATATAATATGTTAAAAGGGTATTTATTTAAAATAAATAAGGTATCAACCTTTGCTATAGGAGGTAAAAATTCCTACTATTTTTTGCAACGGCCTTATTGTAGTTTTTCCTTCTTTTGGCAAGTTAAACATTTGGCTGGTCAGCTAAAAATAATTATATTTGTGACAACAACTACAACTTCACATAAATGTCCTCAGCTTTTAAAATTAAATATATATCCCGATAGTAAACACTACAGAAATTATCAAACTCCCACAAGACATAGAGTCCACAAAATAAAACAGACCTTACCTGTAAATTTTTGGAAAAAGAATTGATCTGATTATTTAGAAAAGGTATTGACAGAGCATTGGAAATCTGGGAATTCCAAATTCGAGCAGGTAAATGTTGAATTCCACCATTAACGAGTGAAAGAAGCTCACATGAAAAATCGAAGAAGAAGAAGACACAGTAGAGGGAAAGTCGGTTGTAACCGCTTTTCTGAAAAAAGGTTAAAAAAAATACATAAGCCCCCACACACATATATATAAACTTCTACTTCTACAACTAGCTTCTAACACCCCTAATCAAAGCTAATACAGCTGTACAAAAATATTAGTCACGTGTGTATTTCTACACCCCCCTTCAAGCTAGGTGTAGAAAAAATATTTAAAACACCTAGCTTGGACATCAAATGATAATGTTGAGCAGTTCCCAGTCCCTTAGTGAGCAAATCAGCTTCTTGTTCTTCTGTTGCCACATATGTAGGACATATCAGCCCTTGCTACATCTTTTCCCTTATGAAATGGCAATCTATCTCTATATGTTGGGTCCTTTCATGAAAAACTGGATTGTTGGCTATTTGCATGGCTGCTTTACTATCCGTGTGGAGCTGAATTGGAGTTGAGGTCTCTACTCCCAGCTCTTTGAACATTCCTACTAGCCAAATCAACTCACAGACAGTCAATGCCATACTTCTATACTCAGATTCTGCTGAACTTCTTGCCACTGTGGTCTGCTTCTTAGATTTCCAAGAGATCAATGAACCACAAAACTTAACAAGATATCCAGTAACTGACTTTCTTGAGTTGGGACAGCTTGCCCAGTCTGCATCACAATACGCATTAAGAGTCATGCTCCCAATTAAATTCATAAGAATCCCCAGGCCAGGTTCATTCTTCACATATTTTACTACTCTGTATGCTGCTTCCAAGTGAGACTGTTTGGGAGCTTACATGAATTGACTCAAAGTTTGCACACTATAAGCAATGTCAGGTCTTGTCAAGGTCAGATATAAGAGCTTCCCAATCAACCTCTGATAACCCCTCACATCTGTTAGTGTTGGATCATCACCCAAATGGCAATATCCATCATACTCAACAGTAGTGAGCCTCTTATTCTGCTCCATTGGTGTAATGATAGGTTTAGCACCAGATACTCCCATTTCAGCTATAAGCTCTAGAGCATATTTTCTCTGACATAAAAGAATTCCCTTTCCAGACCTGCATACCTCAATGCCTAGAAAATACTTCAAATTTCCCAAGTCCTTGATCTTGAAAGCCATGTGTTGTTTATGCTTTGCTTCTTGAATCAATGTGATGTCACTCCCAGTGATAAGAAGGTCATCAACATATACTAGTATAATGACCTGTTGTCCGTTTTCTTCCTTGATGAACAAGGATTGATCATGTTTGCTCTGAGTGAAACCTGCTTGTAAGAGAGATTCTGTGAGCTTCAAGTTCCATTGTCTTGAAGCTTGCTTAATCCATAAAGGGATTTGAGCAATCTGCAGCCCTTAGAATTCCCCCTTGGCTGCTAACACCAGGTGGTAACTGCATATAGACTTCTTCTTCAAGGTCACCTTGAAGGAAAGCATTGTAGACATCCATTTGAAAAAGTGGCCATTGATGCATAGCAGCCAGTGCAATAACAGCTCTCACTGTAACCATCTTAACTACTGGAGAAAAAGACTCATGATAGTCTATCCCTTCTTGTTAGTTGTTTCTTTTGGGAACAAGCCTAGCTTTAAATCTCTCAATATCTCCATTAGATCTGTATTTGACTTTGTATACCCATCTGCATCTAATAGGTACTTTACCTTTAGGAATATCCACTATCTCCCAAGTTTTGTTCATAACCAAACCATCCACTTCCGCCTCATTGCTTCAACCCATCTTGGGTCCTTCATGGCTTCTGTGTATGATGCAGGTTCTGTTTCCTGTAAGGTTGCTGTCAAATAGGATTGATAAGTGGTTGATAAAGCACTATAGCTCAGGTAATTGGATATTGGATACATGCAAGTGGATGAAGATGCTCCATTGAGTGGACAAACATAGTCTTTCATCCAAATAGGTGGTTTGGAACCTCTACTGGATCTTCTGAGTTGTGAAACTTGAACATTCTCTGTGACCTCTGTAGTTGGCATCTGCTCACGATGACCAGCTTCAGCAACTGGTGCCTGCTTAGCAGGGTCTTGACCATTTTCATGTTGTACCAAGTCATGGTCATGCACAAAGTCCTGATTAACATTTTCATGCTCCTCTTCTGGTGTATGAGTTTGTTGTTGGTGCAGGGAATGGCCTTCTTCTCTTGACTTTAGCTCTAAGAACATAGGGGCTTGTTGTGCATCATCTTTTCCCAGTTGAAAAAGAAAGACATCCTCCTTGAATGTAACATCTCTACTGACAAAGAACTTTCTTTGCCTCAGGTCATACAGCTTGTAACCCTTTTGGGACACTGAATATCCCATATGAACTGTAGTAATAGCTCTAGGAGAGAACTTATCAACCCTCTCAGTTACTGTGGCAAAACACAAACACCCAATAGTCCTTAAGTGTGCCATGTTGGGTGGTTTCTTGTGAAAGATCTCATATGGAGACTTCCCTGCTAAAATTGAAGAAGGGAATCGATTGATTAGATACACTGCATCTAACACACAGTCTCCCCAGAATTGCAAAGGAATAGAGCCCTTAAATCTTAGGGCTCTTGCCACCTCCAAGACATGTCTGTGCCTTCTCTTCACTACTCCATTTTGCTATGGAGTATGTGGACAACTGCTTTGATGCAGGATGCCATTATCTGTCAAATAATCCCTGCATTCATGACTAAAGAACTCTGCACCATTATCAGTTCTCAACACTTCCACAGTTTTGCCAAACTGTGTATGTACCATTTTAAGGAAGGATTTTAACACAACAACAGTGTCACTTTTCAACTTCATTAGAAAAATCCAAATCATCTTAGAATGATCATCAACAAGAGTCAGAAAATATCTATTTCCATTATACGTAGGCACTTTATATGGACCCCAAATATCCACATGAATCAAATGAAAAATGTCTTCAGCTCTGTTGCTACTCAAAGGAAATGGCTTCCTTGTTTGCCTAGCTAAAGGACATACAGTAGAATTATTGAGTTCACAATCAGAAAACTTCTTATTTTTAAGGAAATCTAATTGCTTCATGACTCTAACCGGCACATGCCCAAGTCTCTTATGCCAAGTAGTGAAATCTACTTGCATTCCCTCTACCAAACAGCTACTGACTCTTTGTGCCATTCTATTTATGTTGGATCCTTTTGGAATTAGGATATAGAGGCCACCTTTCTCCTTACCAATACCCTTCACTCTCCCAGTGTATAGGTCCTGAAAGACACAAAATGTTGGGCAAAAATTAACTGAGCACTGCAGCTCTTTAGTTAATTTTGACACAGACAACAAGTTGTACTTGAAATCAGGCACACATAATACATCATGTATCTCATCATGATCTGTAAGATTGTAGCTTCCTTTTACAGATGACAGGCACAGTCTTACCATTTTGTAAGTTTACTCCCCTGGGGTCAGGTTGACCAACCATAGTTTTCAGCATTTCACTGTTTGATGCCATATGATCAGTAGCACCACTATCTATAATCCAAAAATCACCTATAGTCTCTAATGGTTGTGAATTAGCATTACCTGCCATGTTTGTTGCATGCTCTTCTGACTTATCCTTATTGATCATCTTCATGATCTGATTATATTGTTCATCTGTAAAGAAGTTCAGCATCCCTTGGCTCATCCCAACATTATCCTCATTTCCAGCAGCACTTTTACCAGAACTGTCATCACTCACAACCACATTAGCTTGCCTATATTGTTGCTATCTCTTTCCTTTAAAACCAGGGGGATACCCAACCAATTTGTAACAAGTTTCCCTTGTATGTCCTTTTTTTCGACAGTATTCACAATACAAATTATTAAACCTCCTAAATTTTGGCTGATTATCCTTAGAACTCATAAGGGCTGTTGAATGATTCACCTCACTTGTCACATTAACATGTGAACCAGTTTCAAACACTCTCCTTTGATTCTCCTTATTTATTACCATTGCATAAGCACGAATAACAGAGGGTAATGGAGATTGAAGTAGTATCTGACTTCTAATTGCATTATAAGATTCATTTAGGCCCATTAAGAACTGAAAAAGTTTTTGCTGTTCCAAGTGTTCGATGAAATCCTTAGTACCGGCCGTAACAGGAAGTGAAGGTATCATAGAGTTATATTCATCCCAGAGTAATTTCAACCTAGAATGATATACTGAGATACTAGAGGTGCCTTAAGAGATGGTAGCTATCTCACGTTGAAGGTTGTAGATCCTCGATCCCTTGACCTTGTCAAATCGATCCTGCAGATCTACCCATACCTCATGAGCATCGCTAGCATACACTATTCCATTCACCAAATCTGGTGAAACTGTATTAATGATCCACGTCAGTACAGTAGCATTCACTCATTCCCACTCCTCTTCCAGATCTGCTGTAAATTGAGCTTTTGTACAGCTCCCATCGATGAACCCTAGCTTGCGTTTTGCTCGCAACGCAATCACCATCGCCTTGCTCCAAACTGAGTAGTTTTCAGTTCCTTTGAGTTGTATCGATACAATGACATTGCTAGGATTATCGGAAGATTGCAAGTACAGAGGATGACGAGGATTATCGATGTCCAAATTCGCCATAGCTGTTCTTCAGAAAATTGTTTCGAATTTTCTGCTGATGCTTTCAGAGTTTTGAATTGACCAGTAATCTCTAACTTCGATTGATCTACTCGAGCTCTGATACCATGTTGAATTCCACCATTAACGAGTGGAAGAAGCTCACATGAAAAATCGAAGAAGAAGACACAGTAGAGGGAAAGTCGATTATAACCGCTTTTCTGAAAAAAGGTTAAAAAAATACATAAGCCCCTATGTAGACTTCTACTTCTACAACTAACCTCTAACACCCCTAATCAAAGCTAATACAGCTGTACAAAAATATTAGTCACGTGTGTATTTCTACAGTAAAAATCGTGATCTCCTTGCCCTAATATCATTTCTAATGACCAAAGAAAAGCTAATTGTTCACTTTTGATATGTAATTACTTGAGATGTACAGATTAATTATTTATTGAGTGTAGCGCAATTTTTTCACACCGTTAGATTAAATTAATCTATAGAATACCTAATTCTTTTTATATTAAGCTTATAGCCCGTTTGGTCAAGCTTCTAAAATCAGCTTATTTTGGAAAGTGTTTTTTCTCAAAAGTACTTTTTAAAAATTTGGTGAGAAGTAATTTGTGATTGGCTAATTAATTTGAAAAGCACTTTTGAGCAGTAATTAGTGTTTGACCAAGCTTTTGAAAACTGCTTCTAAGTGTATTTTTCTCAAAAGTGCTTCTCAGAAAAGTGCTTTTGGAGAGAAGCTACTTTTTTCTGCTTCTTCAAAACTGCTTCTGCTTCTCCTCAAAAGCACTTTTATTTTAGAAACTTTCAGAAACCACTATGTTTTAGTGGTTATTAGCTAGTTGTAGCTACCATTTACTATATTACTTCCTATAGCTATGTTTTCAGATTTTAGAGTGTATTCGATATATTTAAGCTACTGTATTCATGAATATAGTAGCATTTCTAGGCGTGAAACGGGAGATTACAGCTAGACAGATTTTTGTATCCGAGTGTATTCGACAGTATTCATAGCGTGAAACATGGGATTACAGCTGGACATATTATTGTATTCGACTGTATTCACGGCGTGAAATAGGGGATTACTCTATTTTTAAACAGAAAGTGAATCAATTAACATAATAGACTCCTAATATAACTCAACAAACTCAATTATAACACACAAATTTTGTATTTTCAGTTATAAAAAAGATTCTCAACCGAAAAACACCCCAAAAACATAGCAATCTTTAGAGAAATTATAAAATACATCTGAATACATAAATTATATTAATTAAAAAAATATATGAATACATTCATGGAATACAACGAGACAAGTGAATACAATGAAATACATGGAATGCAACGAGATACATTGAAAAATAATGGGAAAAAAAAGACAATGTATACAATGAAATAGATGGAAATACAGTGAGATACATTGAAATACATTGAAATATATTAACAGAAAATTCAAGTTGCTTAGCCCCGAAACTCCGTCGTCTTCGTTCCTCTTTTTTGCAGCTGCTGTTCGTTCCATTTTCTTTGGGTGGCTGGAGGTTGTTAATGGAGTCGGCTGCTATCAGCTTTCTTTTTGGAATTCAAGAATGATGATCCTCTCTCAGGAAGGTGGGCGGATGATCAGGTTTGTGAGGGGTGGAGTGCTGGGCGTTCTTGGAGAAGGGGAATGGGAAGGACAATTGTTGCTCTCTCAAGAAGGAGGAGATCTATCCTCCATTGAAGAGAATGAGAACGAGATGAGGCTGCTGGTGGGTGAAGATTGTGGGTGGGCAGCTTTTTTAGGGGTCCTCGGGTGAAGGTTTTGGTTAGGGACAGGAGAAATTTGAGTGGAGAGAGAAATAATACAAAGCTTATTTTATGGCTTAAGGGTAGGAGGTAACCATAAATAGATATTTGGCTATAAAAAATTAAAAGGTAGCTATGGAATATAATTTTTTAAAAGGGTATTTATTGAAAATAAATAAGGTATCAACCTTTGCTATAGGAGGTAACTATTCCTTTTTTTTCCCTTCCAAAAGCTTGGCCAAACATCTCAATTTTTAGCCAAAAATGTTTTTGACCGAAAAAAACACTTTTGACCAAAAAAAAAGTTCGACCACACAGGCTATTAATATCTAACATTAAAATGACGTAATGACCTGCTATTACTGATTAAATTTAGTTGACGGTGTAAAAAGCCTTACAATATTGGCGTATATAACTTAAATACTTATTTGAAGCATACATTTCCATGTATTATCTAGGGACATAACAACTGTTTTTTTTTTTGGGGGGGTAATTAACTGAAGGTTTTTCTAAAAGAAAAAAGAAAAACAGATAAAAGAAACACACGCGCAGTGTAAATACATAAAAAAAACTGATCTGAAATTAAGTATACTTATTATTCCAAGTAATAATTATTGTCTACTGTTAGACTGTTAGACACACTTAAACCGAAAGTTATGATAATTGAGGCCCCGTTGTAAGATCAACAAAAACTATGATTAGATGATAGATATTTAGCTCCCAACGCCCAGCTCCCCATCCAACCACCTAAAAATCTGATAATAACTTGGCGTATTAGTCCCAATATTTTAATCGATTTCATCTTTGACAAAACTAATAGGACTAGGGATATGCACCAACCTGCGCCCATTATCATGTTTAAGTCAGAAATTTAGGGTAAATACATTAATTAAATATAACTAGTAATAAAGTATATACAAAAGAGAGAGAAATTTTACTTTGTGACTCGCACAAGTATGACTAGTCATGTGAAGCTACTAACTATTAAACAATTGGCAACTGTGGACCCCGCTTTCCACCTAGGCTCCTCCCCCTTTTTTTTTTTTTCATAATTCTCTCTCTAATTTATGAGTTTCATTTTCTTTGTGAAAATGCAAGATATTCATAATTCATAAATTTGTGAATTTCAGTTTATATCTTAGATGTATTTTATTCCCTTATTCACCCAAAATCGCAATTATTTTGTCTTCTAGGTTTTGTTGCAGTTATCACTTTATTTCTTCTAGGCCATTTTTAAAAACTTCAAATTCTTAAAAAAATAAAAATTGAGGCTTCTTTCACTTTTTTCATTTAGAAAAACGATAAAAAAATTCTCTCAAGTATAGTTCTAAAAAGTGAAAAAGTCAAAAAGTTTCATTTGTAATCTTCTTAGACTATTCAAAAAAATGAGGAATTTTTTTTATCCTTTTTCTAGAAGACTTCTAAAGGAGAAAATTATTGTTCTCCTTGGTTTTCTTATAAATGCTTTTGGTATTTCTCTTTTATTTTACATTATTTTTCCTTAACTTTCTCAAGCTTTTCAGATATTGAAAAATATAAAAAGACTCTTAGCTATTTCCTTTATAGGCTATCTTCGTAGAGAATTCAAAGATTCAAAATCCAAATCATTTTCAAACACTTTTCTTATAACTTTCTTTATGATTATAAATATATGAAAAAAGTTAAAGAAAACATAGAAGAGATGGTGAGAAATAAAATATCTTAGAGAAGATGAGAGAATCAGGAAATGAGAGGAAATGTAGGAGTGATGGAAGGAGGAGGGATGGAAAGTGTGGAACCGCAATTGTCATTTGTCAAATAACTAATAGCCTCACATGACTAATCATACTTGTGTGAGTCACAAAGTGAGACACGTACCATGTATTTGCTGGGCCTAGCCGCCTAGCGAATATTTTCGGGCTATTTATCACTTTTAGCCCCGCCAAAAGCTATAGTCGAAAAAGCATATAAAAATTGTATAATTTTTGTATATAATACACAGGATATATATACATACAGAAAATATATATTTTTTCGACTATTATTTTGAGAGCGGCTATACATTGTCATTTTTTCAATATTTTCCTAACCGTTTCTCCTCTGGGCCCTCTCTTTTTGTTTCCTCCTCCATAAATTCAACTTTAAAAGATAGAAGAAGAAGAACACGAGCAATTGTATGTTAGGTGTTTGTCTAAATTTTTTTATCATAATTGGTTTTCCTATCTCATGAAAGAAAGGACAATATATTTACCATAATTAGGTTTTTCTTTTCCTAGAAGGAAAATATAATTATTCCATATTTGGCTAGTCACTTTTCTTGTAGGAAAAGGTCTGGGCTTCTATAAATAGAGGATCCTTCCTTCTCATCCAGTAGCATCCACAATGTAGCCATAGGGGGCTTGAGTGTCGTGTTTAGTGGGAGAACTTTACGGGACAAGTGTTAGTGTGTCACTTGTGTTTGCCTCTTCGTGAGGTTGTTCTCTCAATATTTTGTACTCACTTTTATATAGTGAATTGCTCATCGCCACCATGGACGTAGGTCAATTGACCGAACCACGTTAAATGTGTGTGTCTCTTTTGGTAGATTTCTCTTTTGTTATCTGATTTTTCGTCGTTCAAAATTTGCGTTACTAGCTTTCGCAAGACACCTGATTTTTTTCGATCCTAACAATACAATGTCATTTTTTCAATATTTTCCTAACCTTTTCTCCTCTGGGCCCTCTCTTTTTGTTTCCTCCTCCGTAAATTCAACTTTAAAAGGTAGAAGAAGAAGAACATGAGCAATTGTATATTTGACAGCATTATAGCATTAATTACAATAGAACAAAGCTTACAATTGCAGGAAGAAATAAAAAAAAAAATACATGGCTATGGAAAGGAGTCATCAAGTGCAATAAATATATGAAATAAACTACTCATCCTTTTCTTTTCCCCCACAATTTATGATTTAAATTAGCCACGTATTTAGCTCTCTCTCCTCCAACAGAAGCAAGGAATCAAATTTCAAACTACTAACCACTCCCAAGAATAAAAAAGACAGAATAAACAATTGTTACCTTTAAGTCATTTCAATTCCAACTTCACTAGAATTGTTGCTTTCTTCCTCTGTTTTCAATGGCGATTTAGCACAGGCTCTGCAAATTGGACAAGCAGCTGTTTTCTGTAGCCATGAATCAATGCATTGAGCATGAAAACTATGGTTACACTTTGGTAAAATCCTACACTTTTCACCAACTTTAAAATTCTCTAAACACACAGCACAATCCACAGGGCTACTACTCCCTTTTATTTCCACTTTGTAATCAAAACAAGGCAGCTTCTTTATATCATCTTGTGACATACTTTTGTTCACATTTCTTGGATTAAAAATGACACCGGTTATACCATTTCTGCTCCTGAATGCTCTTCCAACAATACAAACATGAATGAATACCAAAACAGCTATGCCCACCAACAGCAACACTACGGAGACCACAATTTCCATTACCATAGTCTTTCTTTTATTTATCAAACACCCAAATTCAAGAAACCAATTTTCACGTCTTAATTCACAATTACTCAAGATTTGGTTATCAAAAGATTACAACTTTCATACAGAATCCGTGAGCATATAGAGAGAGTCTGATCTGATGAGTTAAAGAGGAGGTTGAGATAAGGACGTACAAACAAACATGATTTTGAATTCTCGATACTAATTAAAAGGGGAGAGTGAGTTGAATAGGGAAGAAAAGCATGAAGTAGGAGCCAGAGTTATGGAAGTATACACACTTGACACTTCTCATGCTGTTTGGGATTTGAAATTGTTTGCTGTAACAAAGATATACGCCATTGCTTTTTTCTAGGGGAGGGTGTAGGGAGGGGGTATTTTGGGGGAGGGGAGGGGAGGGGGGGGGTTGTTTTATCTGCTGGCTCAAACCTCAGATAGACCAATAACGTTGCATACTTGCATTTCTCGGTCAAGTAATGCAAGAAGTGAAGGAAAATTCAGCCTTACGCGAGGGTTACAAAATAAAGGCGTCTATTGTGTTTATTCTTATTTATAGCTTTTGGGCAAGAGGGGGTATTTTGTGGTTGTACGTGTACATAGTACATAACTAAAGTAAAACTTTCCTGCTTAAAAAATACTCCTATTTCTATTACATTGAGGGATTAGTGAAGTGGAAGGAAGATAGATGATGGATTGTAAAAATTGAACGCACACACATTATATGTGAGATGCCAAGGTGCACGCACCATTAGAATATATTTGTTTGAGCAAAATTTGATTGAAGTTGAAAAAAATAATATGAATTTGAACATGAATTTCACTTGAAAAAAAATGTATTAATTTTATTAGTGAAATAATGAAAAATCCCCGAGTTCACTAAAAATGCTCCTAAAACAAGTTTTTCAACCTTGATTTGCACCAAATTAATATTTGCACGTAACATATATAATTTGTGTCCAAACGCTCTGCAACTGATTAAAAATTAAAATAAGAATGACTTGGAGACTCTTGTCTTTTTGTAAAGTTGACCATAAAGTTTTTCTCTGAAAATTGATATTAACAATAGACTAGAGATCTATCTTCTTTGAATTAACCAAATATTAAACATTTCCACAAACTATAGTTTCAATCACTCTTCCGTAGTAAACCAATCTAGCGGAAGAAGTTGAAAGTTCAACGTCAATGGTAAACACATTTCTACACTCTGCATCTTTAATTCCTATATGTAGTTAAGCAATAATTCCTTTTTAGTTTTCTTAACCTAATAGGCACGGCCATCTAAATGAATTAAATATGGAAACTTGACAAAGATTGAGAAGATTCTACACAACTGCGAGATATATTATTATACTCCAAACAATCATGCTATACTTTAACATTATATTCGAATCAAGAAAATAGTCATGTAAAATGGTACTCCTATTTTAAGCCCGTTTGTTTGAATAAAGAAGATTCAATGAGTGTACACTATAAGATAATCATTTTTTTCCTGCCAATTTTGATCAAGAATATTGAGAATACGTAGTTAGTCTAATACAGCTTAGTAGCTAATTGAGCAATTAAGTTGTTAGTAGTTAGTTAAGTTGTTAGTGGTCAGTTGACAGCTGGATGTGAGCTGTCAATTAGTGGGTTATTAGGAAGTTAGGATTTTAATTATAAATAGCATTGTACAGTGTATTTCGACACATTCAATACAACAGCAAGCTTCCTTCTCAAATATCCTCTCTGTACTCCATGGATAAGCTGAGAGATAGAGCTTCATACAGTGAGAAATTTGACATGGTATCAGAGCGGTGAATCAATCGTACGCTCGTTGCGAGTTTTTTCTTTTCAATAATCAATTTCGTGTTTAGCTCTCCTTCAATTTCTTCTTCACTACGAGAGTTCTCTGTTCTGCGATAATGGCGAATGATGACGAAATCGAAGAAAAAATCGATCATACACATCCACTGTACGTTCATCCTTCTGATACACCTGGTTTGATCTTAATCCTGGTGAAATTAACAGGATATGAGAATTATGGACTTTGGCGAAGGTCAATGCGAATCGCACTCCAAGCTAAGCGAAAACTAGGGTTTGTGACTGGTACGTGTAGAAAGGATCAATTTAGGACTAAATTGCATGAGGATTGGGAAACCTGTAGCGCAATTGTCCTGTCTTGGATCATGAACACTGTATCGTCGGACCTGCTTAGTGGAATTGTGTACGCATCAAATGCTCATTTTACAACCAACCGCTACAAGCGGGCAGGAAATAGATGTGGTGGAGACTCAAGTCAAGGCGTGGTCTGGAAGGATCTGATGGAACGTTTTGATAAGGTGAATCGTGTGCGTATTTTCCAGTTACAATCAATTTCGCAGGGGACTGACTTAGTAGCAACCTATTTCACAAAATTGAAGGAACTTTGGGCAAAGTATGATGCCCTTGTTCCTTCCCGTGGCTGTGATTGCCCTAAGTCAAGGACTACATTGAGCATTTGCAATAACAAAGATTGATTTAATTTCTCAGTGATCTACATGTATCTTATGAGAAGGCTCGTAGGCAAATACTAATCAAAACAATAGAACCCAGCTTGAATCAAGCATATGCTATGATTATAGAGGATGAGAGTCAAAGGTCACAACCTTTTTCACCTTTGACAGGGAAGGTTGATCCCATGGCAAAATGCATGTAGGTCGTGGATAATCATATAAAGGAAAGAAGCCTTATATGCAATGTGAGTATTGCAATATGAAGGGGCATTTAAAGGAGAATTGCTATAAGTTGATTAGCTACCCGGCTGACTTTAAGACAAAGAAGAAGTTTGTTGTCAATAATGCAACTGGGAATAATGTGGCCATGGTAGACAAGAAGTATCAGGTAGTGGAACATGAGGCTGCTGGTGAATTCGCAAAAGGTGGATACTTCTTCATAGAAGCGCAGTACAATCAGATCCTTGGGATGCTGAATGGAAACAAGGATGTTGTTGCACCTCAAGCCAACTTGGCAGGTATTGCCACATCTTTTATGGCAGACTTTGGCACTACTGAATGGATATTACTGCTTCACTTAATACCTTAACAGATGTTAGTGAATTGAATTCTAAAGAAGAAGTTCACTTACCTAATGGAGCTAAGTCAAATATAACACACATAGGAATTGCTGAATTCCTTGAAAGTGTGAAGGCTAAAGATGTACAATATGTTTCAGATTTCAGATACAATCTATTATCTGTATCCAAACTGACCAAAAGTCTCTCTTGTGTTGCCCTTTTTTTCCTGATTTCTGTATTTTTCAGGACCTCTTCACTGGCAAGGTGGGGAGGATTGGTAGAGAGAAAGGAGGTCTATACATTGTGAGGCAAAGGAACAATCAAAACAGTATGAAGGATCTAGTGGAGAGTGCAGTAGTGCAAGGAAAAATACTAGATAGTGGTCTTTCGCACCGAAGACTGGGGCATGCTTCAATCAACACTATGAAGCACATGTCATTACTACAGGATAAAATTTTAGATGTAGCCATCAATAAAGACTGTTCTATTTGCCCATTAGCTAAGCAAAGCAAGTTGTTGTTTCCCACTAGTCATACTGTTAGTGAAAAGCCTTTAGAACTGATTCATATGGATGTATTGTCATGACCCAAACCGATGGCTGCGATGGGCACCCAGTACCTTACTCAACCGAGTACCAACGTAACGTATCTTTCATATTATTCTATCATAGGTAAATGAACCGGAGTAAAGTATGAGGGAATACAAACTTATACATATAAAGTACGGGCCTATAAGACAAAAATAGCCAATCATGTACTGAACATGAGCCGACAAGGCCATACAATCTTTTACGTACATGACATCTGTCTACAAGTAGAATACATAATTTTCATAAAGGTCGGAACAGAGTTCCGCCATATCAAACAATACACGTCTAAATCATACTAACCAATCAAGCAACTCCGAAAAAATGGAGCGCACCAACATCTTCCGCTGAGCTGATAGCCTACTTGGAGGGCTCTCGACCTGTCTATCGGGACCTGCGGGCATGAAGCGCAGCGTCCCCAGGCAAAAGGGACGTCAGTACGAATAATGTACCGAGTATGTAAGGCACATCAATAACTACATAACAGACATGGAGGACATATAGAGTAAATGACTCCACCTGTAAGTCTGGATAACTTTGTAAATCATGAAATAATTATAGTGTCATGCATATGCGTATGAATGTCATGTCGTGCATAGGTACATGTTTCATAACATCATCAGCCTCTGAGGACATCCCATTATATCATCTCGGCCACTGTGGGCAAAATCATCAACGTATACCAGCTGATCAGGTGGTGGTGCGTATATAACGCCATAACCTTTTTCATATCCCATATACATATATATACATATATATATACGCGTATATAACGCCATATGGTCATGGGTTAATGTACATGAATGCAATGCATGAAAAGTACGTTAATAAAATCTTTCGGAATGTCATAAGACCATTTTGCCTTTGAGTAATATCATAAAGTAAACTCTTTTCAACTTTCATATTTTTCTGAGACCCATGAACAGATGATAAAATATTATGACACATGAAAATTCAAGAAGATAGATATCTCTAATACTTCTATGAATAGAGTCATTTATGGAATTTGTGCATTTGCTCGTTTTGTTTGAGTCGTATAGATCATGCCAAAAGAAAGAAGGGATAGCCTTAACATACCTAGAGTAGGAAAAACTCCATATAATATTCTTGAAGATTGCACCGTACTCTTTTAGAACCGCAAAATTTGTACGTTGTTAAGCTTCCAATAATTCTCGTTGGGCTTTTGGTTGGAAAACGTTTGTTGAAGCTTTCTACGTTCTGGATTTAAGCATTTTTGGTTGAAGATGGCTAATGTTTCTTTTGCAAGAATGATAGTGTCTTTCTATATCAAATGTAAAGTATAAAAAGTGAGGTCTTTCTGTCTCAAATGAACTAAGTGGCTAACGTTTTTGTGCAGGTAATGTTTTCCTATTCAAAGTATAAAGGTGGGTGTCTTATACCTAATGAATTAAGTGGTCACCTACTCATAAATGAATATGAGTCATTTTCCTAATTGGTGGCCTTATGCCACGTTTTGGGGGTTAATTTATTAATATTTTATCCACTTATTAGTTAACTAGGTAATGTCCCGTTACCCGGTAATTAACCAATTATCCGTATAACTAAGAATTATTTCACTTACTTAAAATATTGCTCACTTTTCACATACCTTACTATTATGGACATGTGGTACCTTGTATGCTACTAGTCCATAAATACCGGGTATTTTAGCTCGGGCCGTATTTTATCCCAAAATGCCAAATTTTAACGAAATTCATTTTCTTCGACTTGCTTCCCCTCTCACATTCACGAATTTACTCATCAC